CACATGTGGAATTTCTCTTCGCAGGTGGCAAGTGTACATACACTCCATTGTGGCCGTCCCATCTAATGGTTATATCTTCGTATCCATAGAGTAGAATATAGTTTCCAACTTTCTGTATTACCATGCTATTCTCGAAATAAGGTGGTGTTACTGACTTGCCGTTAATCGTTACATTGCCAGTTTCAAGCTAGAAATGTTAGAATCAAATTAGTCTATCAAGAAATAAATGTAAAATGCGAATGGCTTCCACTTACAGTATTAAATAAATTCCATCAATGTTATAGCAGAAATTTTGCGTTGATTATAGTATTTACATTTTATATGTGCATGGAATTAAGGTTTGGTAATTATATTAGATTATCGGACAAATAAAGGCGTTTCAATACTGAAATTATACCGCAATAAAAGGTGTGCGATTTCGGTTACTATAGTTACTGCACCATGAACTCATCCTCATCGCATTTACAGTATGTCATCACTTTTACCGAGCTATCCTTCACGCGACACTTTTCAGCTCAACGTCTGGTATTAAACGCAGGTTCGCGTAAACACAAATCCGGTTGAAATTCAGCCCGGGATCGTGTAAAGGTGGCCTAAGTTCAGGGGTTTCAGAATGATTTGAAGTAGGAGGTTGTACCAAAAAAAGTAGCCGGCTGTGACTGATAGTTAAAAAATCGCGCGGGGAGGGGAGCGTGCCCTCGCATGAAAATTTAAAAATTAACAAATCCAATAATATAGCAAATCGCAAATTAACAATCAAATAATATAGAATAAGTAAAAAGACAAAGTACAACTGTTAACATGTTAGATTTAGATGACTATAACGACATTAAAGTATTGACATTGTCACTTACAAGTATAAATGCAAATGACAATGTGCACTACAGGAATAGTATTCATTTACGAGTCCGAAATCATTAATCAAATGATGTTATACTTATATGTACGTATTGAACTTCACTTTGTCACTTTTTCTTTCTTTTGCTATATGTTTGGTACTATGTATTATAATTTATCTTATTGATCTTCCAAAATAAGTGATGTTTTGCTCGAATTCAGGGCTTGAATTTCATATCGCGCCAATTACCGTAGAGAGAGAACAAAATGCCGTGGATCATTGCGGCAACGACTGCATTTTTTTTCCCGTATAGTATAATTTTTAAACTGTTCACTGTGCATTACTATTTTGATACTTGAATTCAGATGTTGATCAAATTTTCCGTAAATTACTATTTTAGACTTTTAGTCCCAGTTTTCTTCGAAAAAAAAAACACTAAAGAAATACGTAAACATGTTTCTAACTTGTCAGCAATCCAAAGTAACACTAATCAAATTAAATTTTTATTACAATAATTTGAGAAAATGCCGTTGAATTTTGGAAACTGACAAAATTGCCGTAGACAGCTGTTACGTTCTACGGCGATTTTTAACGCCATTGCCGTCGATTGATTTCAGGGAAATTCAAGGCCTACTTGAGTTCCAATTGGAACACAACACAGTTTAAATGCATTATTAGCTTATGAAAAGAGCAGTATCAAGCAACAACCCCCTGTTGTCCTATGCGTTAGGGCCGGAGAAACGTGCAACTATCGTTAGCTCTCAATGCTTAGTAGATGACAAAGTAGAGGACAAAGGAAATCATGAAAAAAGTGTGTTTACTAGTCGAGGAATTAAACTCTACAATTGTGTATTTAGTGGCTGCAACATTAGATTTGTTGTAGATGAGAAAGAGTGATTAAAATTAAAGCAATTCTGGGTGTGAATTTGTTTGCTGACTTGATTTTGCATACGTAATTAAGACATTTGATGAAAACACTAGTGACTTTCACAGACCTGCCAACCTCAGAGTGGCAGAAATCGTGAGTTGTATATTACAAAGTCGTGAGATTTTGTGAAAAACCTTGAGATTTCAGAAACCTCCAAGGGTTGATTATGGATTAAATGTATCAAAAAGTCAGTTCTCTATTTAGCTAGTTGAATTTTAATAGTCAAAATATGCCTCTGCTGAACATACTCGTCATATGTAATGTGTTTAATATTAATATTGGAAATCTTGGAACAAAATTCAGTTTGATGATCATTTCATTGGAAACTGAGTGCAATGTTTCTACAAAATAAGTGAAAACAAGAGTTGCATGGTAATACTATGTATGGCTATAAATACACTTTAATTAAATTAAACATATTTCCTCAAAAATCGTGAGACCGTGAGAAAGCATAAAAAATCGTGAGTCTCACAACAAAACCGTGAGAGTTGGCTGGTCTGCTTTCATCAAATATCTTAATTACGTATGCAGCTAAACTCTTTTGTGTTGCTGTGTCTGACGGTGTTTGACTGCGGTATCCAAACAGCATCTTGTGACGGAATGCTTACATGCTATTGGTTTAATTACTCATGAATTATTAATAAATTTGAGAAATTTAAAAAAAGGATAGATTAATGTTATTGTATAGGGGCCTACCAGAAATTTTAACAGGCTTTTATTTAAGACCCCTATAATCAATATACTGTATACTGCGAATGCAAAAGGTTTCATCTGCGGAGCAATCGAGTATTTTACACCAATAACTTATTCTGTGATTGAATTAATCATGCGCTGTATTGTTTAATTGGGAATTGACGAAACAATGAAAATTTTGTCATTCCGTCGCCAACAGGCAATTTAAAAGATGGAAGACAGTTCGGAATCTGACACTGCGACCCAGCACTCAATAACCTGTTGTATTAATCTTGAAAAGGTTTCATTGGCGGACCAATCAAATGTGATCTGTGTTTACTACAGAGAACTGATTTCGTATTGTTCATTTGGTAGTACTTGGCCCTCATATCACGCTGCAATGAGAGCAACTACATGTTTATTCAGCATCCTGTGTTATGAATCTTGAATGGTTTGTGCCAAGTTTTATGATCTTGTGTTTTAGTCTAATTTGATCAGGATACGGACTAATTGCATGCCTTGAATGCCTGAATATGAACAATCAGAATCTACGTTGAATTGTAATAATAATCAATATACTGCGAATATGTAAAAGTTTTATGTTTATAGGCTATATCTAATGTCAAAGAGGTACTATACCAAGCGGAAATCTTATGAATCACAATTAATAAAGTATCGCAGGCTTGATACTCACTCTTTAAATGTACATAAATAAAATGCCCAACAACTTAGATTATCTCACATTAGCTGAGGTTTTGTTGTTTGTATTACAACTCTCCATACAAGAGTTTAGAATGCTTTGCTATGACTTTATCAAAAAATAGGCTCGCTCTTTCGTTCATTTTTGTTTGTTTGGGCAATTGACAGGCTATACTATTTTTTTTTATTTACAGTCATGCAATATTTAGTTATAGTATATATAGTAGAATATTGGTGTTGAAATGTGGTTAAGAGATATATTAATTATATATATATATTCAGTGGCGAAGTGGTTAGCGCTTAGCTGGAGAACTTCTCAATGTGACTCGAACCCAGTCCTCATGTGAAAAGAGTAAAAGTCAACATTCTGCCAAAAGTCGTGGGTTTTTTCTGGGTACTCTGTGTTTCCTCCCACAGGGAAAGTTGACAGGGTGGGTTAGGCACATAGGTCTGGAGGCAGATCATTAATGAGGTACGGACTAATAGCGGCTGCTCAAGCGCCATTTGTAAGCTCAAAGTCTACCTCGGTCTGCTTCAAGTCAGTCCGGTTCTATCTATCTATTCATAATGTAACCAGTCACTGAAAAGCCCTATAGGGAGTGTGCTGTGAAATATCTGTATATAGATATAGAGCTGCGAACCGTAGTACACCTTTGAAAGAGTGTTGCGCGAGATCAAATCCTGCTCCAATCAATTCTAATGATAGTAACTAACATGTTGGGACATGTAGTACAAACAGCTATTTTTTCTTTCTTTTGATCTATTTGATCTGTACAAGATAAAACAGATATAGAGTATTAATAAATGTTGCAACTCCATAGGTTTGCCAGGCCAATAGACGATTGCAATCTGTAGTATTCAACGAAATGGTTCGCTGTTTTGATGAATGATGAGTCATAATTTATAGGTGTTTCATTAACTTTTTGCCAACATTGTTGTTTTTGGTGCGCAAGGGC